CTGCTTGAAATGTGACTTTCAGCTGTACATCAACTAATCATGGCTAACCTTTAAAGACATAGAGTTGGATCAGGGCAAAACAAATCTACATCCTCTCCATTTTTGCAGCCATAGTGCTTTCTCCTGTGCTCAGCTTTTTGAGGGAGAAAAAGATAACTCAAAACACGCATTTACAGATTCTATACAACCAAGCTGAATAATGACCAAAAAGTAAGGGAGTAATTTTGCACAGAATTTAAGAGCAACTTGCCACAGCTCACTTTTAACTGCTTCACACATATACTTCTCCCTTAGACAACAGAGTCTTAATCCACAGGAATACAAGAATGATTTAGCAAGACCATAATCTGGAGCCTTCCTTATGTCTTGTAAAGGAAACAACAATCGATTACATATGTTTGTCCAGAATGAAATAATACATAGGATTCTTAAAATTATCTCTGCAGGGATAATTGGGCATCCTTTGTCCCAGCTAGGGTGAAGTTGGAAGCACTTCAAGCATTCCTAATCCTAGATTCAGTACATACTAGGGAAGCAGTCTTTACTTACTTATCCTAGGTTAGGCTGGTTATATAGTAAAGCAAGGGATAGGCAGTGTTTTTGGGCCCACAGACATTTTACATGGGGGAAAAATGGGCTGGTAGGCTCTTCCCCCTTTCTTTGATTTCCTTTTCTTGATACCAGCAAGCTGCCTGAAACTGCAAAGAAGCAGGAAGGCAAGCGATTATGAGACTTTCCACTTCCAGGCTACAGAGGTGACAGGAAATAGAGGTAGAATGCTGGGTGTACTTGTGGGCACTAAGTTAGAACCTGCAGTCCTAAGTGTTTTGTGTTTTCTCCCCTATAAAGAGTGTTTTTGGCCCAGTGCACTTACCATACACTGAAGGAAAGAAAGGCAATCAGTAAAAACCCCTTGGATTTAAAGCTATCACAGCTATCTGGAACAGGATCCATATATCCACTTCTGGGCAACCATCTTGCAAACTAACTCTGACATCACTTTAGGAAACTTGCCACTTATAACGTACTCAAGATCATAGTCTAGGTATCCATTAAAAGGAGCTTGGGTCTGCTCTACCTTGCAGACTTGGGTCTGGGTGATCAAATTATATTTCTTACTGAACAATCTCAGCACATTACCAGCATTGTTTTAAATTGAATATAATGCTGTTGCAAAGTATTCCTGCTATGAAAAGGTATACCATGAAATAAAACAATGCATACATTTGAAAATCTATTTTATGAAGTTTGTAGATGCATGTACCAGCAAGAACCAAATGGTAAACTATAATTACATTTTCATTACTAAAAATACCAAAGTTATTTTGAGAGAAACAATGAGGTGCCAAAAGTTCTGATTTTCTTTTAAATATACTAGCTGGCAGATTACAATCTTGCATTTTCTAATCTGACCAAAGAAATGCTCATATTTACACAAACTAGCTGGCTCTAATGAAGTGAAGCCATGTGTATGTATTATGTAGGATGCCAGAATTATAGGTAATTGGCATCAAATGCCTCACTGCATCTTTTACAGCTCTGGTTAGAATGTAGATAAGGGGGCTCAAGCCCAGGTTTTATTAATTCTCCTAGAAGCTCAGGAGGTCACACAGGAAAGGCCAATATAAATTACTGCTACACAGTCAAAGCTTTTCCTGTTTTAATTGTTCACTGCATCAGTAAGTCCAGTATCCCTGAGATAGGAACGTAACTGGAGGAGACAGGCTCTCCAAAAGAAGAGTACTTGAAAGTTACAATTCTTGCCACTAAGCCTGAACTTCGTAGACACTTAGTATTTACTGGCAGCAAGTCGCTTGAGAAGTGGCTCATCATAAACCCAGCATTCTCCATCTTCATGGAATAGCTGTAAGAAAAGAGCACTCATTTAACCATCTCACTATAGGAACAGGAAGAACTACAATATGACAAGCAGTTGAATAAAACTTACCCGTGTCTCCCAAGGAATCTCTTTCTCCTTTCTGGCTCTAGCTTCAGCTCTTTGCCTTTCCTCAAGCCTATGCTTAGCTTCAGTAGCTGCATCAATGTCTCTGATTTTTAAGTTGAACGTCACGTCTTTCCATAGGCTTAAAAAGAGAAACCCACCATAACAACATTTACACAGAATGGTAGACTTTTTGAAAAATTGCACCCATTGCCTAAGTTCAAAATGGCCCCAGTTGCAGCTTCATATAATGACTTCAGGAAACAATGCTTTAATTTGGATGAGCATGGAAAGGTCTCCCACCAAGCAATAGGATGAGATAAGGTTAAGTGTTATTCCTAAACATCAATGAACTGCAAATTTGCTCATTATATGTTTACTGATTATTCATGTCATGGTATTTAATTTATGTGACTTAGGACTCTTCAACAATCTCTGAATATTTTTCTGAACAGGCAGGTAGGGAAAGTATGCTGAGGTCTTACCAGCGTGACTCATGTTCTTCTTGATCTTCTAGTTTCCTTACTTTCTTCTTAATGATAGGCATTTTCTTGGTATCTATAAAGACTACATTCTCCTAAAGAAAGAAGAATTTTATTAATGTTTACATTTTCAACTTCAAGTTGTTCTTCATCTTGGTTTTAGTTACATACTGGTACTGCTCTATTTCCTGCTGCACAATGCAGTCTCGTAACAGCCCTCTATCAGTGCAAGTAATATCACAACAAAGATGCTATTAGCAACCACGGTCCAATACAGTAACACCAAAGCATGCTGGGCCTCGTCCTGTAAGAGATCCGATTACTTCCACTATCAGAAACACCTTTAGAGTTGAACTCTTGATTTACTAGTAAGAAGAAGACTATTTACTCAGAATGAGATCTTATGGATAATCATTTTTTTTACAGGCAAAATCACAAAATGCAGAAACATGTCTGTTGATTAAGCAAAGATAAAAAAAAATTGATGGTTTACCCCTGTTGCATATTTTGCGTACATGACACCATTCCATTCTCCTTCAATTGAACAGAAGGATTTCTTGTCATTAGGAGAACTAAAAGAAAGGAAAGAGTACAAAGAGGAGTCATCTCCATCCATTCCAGTCTTGTTTGATGCTTAACAAATGCCATAAGAATTGTTTGCAAAGTGCTTACAATAACCCCCAGTAGCTCAATGCCTGGGATAGGGAACCTCTGGCCAGTAGGCCTGATTGGGCCAGAGAGAGATCCCACCCAGCCCTTCAGATTCTTCCCTTTCTCACTCCTCCCCTCAAATGGGAACTCTCCCTGCTTATCTTACACTGTGTTAAACTTTTAAGACTAACTGCAATATACGAGGGAGGCATTTCGGCAGCATGAACAGTAATGTGTGTGAGAAAAAACAAACAAACGTTAGAGGCCTATGCATGCTGCTGCCTCCAATGTGCTTGCCTGAAGTAAAATTGGCCCTTGGGCCAAAAAAGTTGCTGTACTCTTGCACCACACTGGTTTTGTTTTGTTTTGGTAAGATTCCTCTCTCCTACAGCCTTCTCATTTTTAAAAAAACAAGCAAACAAACTTACAAGATTTCTGCTGTAACTCTGTGCTTTTTCCCTCCATAGAAAGGCTTTGTGTGAAAGATTATGCTAGCGTTATAGCCTGTCTTGGAGCAGCTAATGCTGCACTCTCCTCCCAGTTCTATCCACGGCACTGTGAGAATAGATCTGTGAAGATAACGCAAGACACCTTTCAATACCTAGGCAAAAGCAATTTAGCACCATTTTAAAAGTTGCTGAGAAGTATGAAGTGTCACTTGCCTCCCATAACCATTTGGAAAAGTCAGAATATAGTGTTCATCATAATCTAGGCATGACACACACCCTGTAAAACAAAACAGGTGTCCTGAGAATTAAACCAATGAACCTATACAGAGACAGATGACAGAGGAACAGAAGATTAAAGGATCAAAGCAGCCTGTCTCAATCTTGTGTCCTGAAGATGCTGGTGTCAAGACTCACATAAGCTGCCATCAAACATGTCTAGAATGCACCAGGTTAGGGTAGACAATGAGAAACGGAGTAAACTATTACATTGAAATCAGAAAAAAAGTACACTTGAATTGTTTGAGGCTGGACTAGAGTATTTTCTCCCGCAAAAGCAGTCCCTAAACTTACTGCATCAATTAAATAGCCAAGAAAATGTTAAGAGAATGCTAAGGAGAGTTGGAGCATCCAACCAGTACTGTCAATTAAGCAACTGGTAGCTCTGGCAGGTATTTTCCCCAACACCATTGTCCCATTGTCTTCCTCCTCCTTTTAGACTACAGACTGCATATGCTGAACCATATGCTGCATGACTGCTGTCAGTCATACAGTGTTTTGCATTTCTCATGGTGGCTTCTGGAGTTAAAGCCAAAAAGGGTAAGGAGTCAGGTCCAGATGCTCTATTTGCTTCCTGTTAGAAGGGTGAGCTGAGGAACACAAGTCAGAAAGAACAGTTTTCTTCCATGTAACTGGCTCTTTGAATGAGCATTTGTGAACTTACAGATGTACCTGTACAGAAGTCATTTGGAAGTCATTAAACAGAGCTTAGGTGAGAGCATTGACACCTTTCCTGCACACACTCCAAGTGTGGCTTCCACCTGCTTCTCAGGTACAATTGTGCCACAGCAGAAGAAATGAAAAGGCAAGACATCGAAGTGAGGTGGGAGGGCTGCTTGGGTTAACAGATGGCCACCTCAAGTACGACAGTTACAG